GTTTCTCCTGGCAGAACTGACTAAGAGCAGCGAGCAGCAACCATGCTGCAGCTTGGATGCTGTGTCCATCCTACTAAACAACTTAGTTCATTACTCAAGAATGCAGCCATCCTCTGCCAGAAGATAACACGAGTCCAGTTCTGAAGAGTCATATTTTCCTCTGGAATCTCACGAGCCCAGCCTTTACGATTCACGTCTTTCTTGGCTGTCTGGTCTTTCTGACTCTCACCAGAATGGACCATTAGACTGATCACAGCATTCTAAAGCTTCTCTAGGTGGCAGGACCAAAGTCTTCCACATTCCTCTCACAAACCAGTCCAAAGGCCTGCAGACCACATGGTCAGATTCATCACAGCAATGGCCCTCTCATTGGTTCCAATTTTCTGCATTAGTTCCTTTTTTTTTTTTTTTTTTTTTTTTTTTTTTTTTAATTACTGTGACAAAATGCCCATGCTGCAGAATGCTACCTTCTGGGTATGTCTGTTTGTAGGAGGCTCTGAGGTCAGGCCTGATGGCTGCTGATGTCCCCTTACAGAAGGAGGGGTGAGCACCCAAGAGTCCAACCACTCCCTCCAGCACTGCCCGGCCATTTCTATGTAATTTTGCTCTAATTGCCTGTGGCCTTTGGTGCTAGAATATACAGACCGGGAAGATTTACTAAGAGGGCGCATTCTATCTACAAAGCTGTAAGGTAGTTCTCATCCATGCAGGGTTAGACTTTGCAGAGGCGTGGCTGCTTTGGAACCATCCATGTGCCCGTGGAGTAAGCATCATCCTTGATCTGTAAGGAAACCTGGTGAACTCATTGGTTCCACAACTCGGACTGTAGTGGGATTGTACATTGTCACTGGAACCCTGTAAGGAGGGGATAGATATTTTTTACATCTCTCTAGAAAAAAAAAAAGAGTTGTTTAAAAAATATATATATCTTTTTTTTTTTTTTTTTTTTTTTTTTTCCGAGACAGGGTTTCTCTGTGTAGCTTTGCACCTTTCTGGGACTCACTTGGTAGCCCAGGCTGGCCTCGAACTCACAGAGATCAGCCTGGCTCTGCCTCCCGAGTGCTGGGATTAAAGGTGTGCACCACCACCACCCGGCTAAAAATATCTTTTTTAAAAGATTTATTTATTATGTATACAGTGTTCGCCTGCATGTATGCCTGCATGCCAGAAGAGGGCACCAGATCCCATTACAGATGGCTGTGAGCCACCGTGTGGTTGCTGGGAATTAAACTCAGGACCTCTGGAAGAGCAGCCACTGCTCTTAACTGCTGAGCCATCTCTCCAGCCCCTGGGGGAAAAAAAAAGAGTTCTGGCAGCAACCCCTACAAATTGACTTGTGGAAGAGGTTTATTTTGGCCCACGATTTGAGGACAAATGGTCCCTTATGGCTGGGAAGGCCCGGCAGCGGGAATATGAGGAAACAGAGCAAGATGGATACTGACCATCAGCTGGCTTCCTCCTTTCCCCTTTAATTCATCCATCCTCTCTGGAAACACCTCACAAACTTACCCAGAGGTGTGTCTCCTAGGCGGTTCCAAGCCTAGCCAATGAAGATTAACTAACCATCACATCCTGCAAGGCCTTCAGTCCTTCCTAGCCATTTCAGCCTTGTCTTCTGACGCCATGATGCAGTTGGCTGATTCTTTTCACAGGTGGATGGACTGAGGCTCAGGTTGGTGGTATAATGAAACTTAAATCACCTGGGAAGTGCCCGACATCCACTAGAACAAGTAACTTGTTATTTTGCTTTGGTGCCTTTTTGAATCAGGGTCTCATATAGCCCAGGATGGGCCTTGAACTCACCATGTAGCCAAGGATCACCCTGAGTCTCTGACCCTCCTGCCTTCACCTCCCAAGTGATGGCAGGCATGTGACACCATGTCCAGTTTCATGTGGTGCTGGGGGTTGACGCAGGCCTTTGTGCAAGCTAAACATTCTATGAACCGAGCTATATCTCCACCATCACACGCTTTGGAGACAGGTTCTCACACTGTAGCCCAGACTTGTCTAGAACTTACTATGTACCCTAGGCTGGTCTCGTATTTGCAGAGATCTTCTGGCTTTAGCTTCCCTGTGCTGGGATTGCAGGCATAAGGCACCACCCCGGTGGATTCACTTACTTTTCAGTTCCATTTCAGCCACCAGAGCAGGTGTTGTTTTGGTTTGTCACTAAGGGCAGTGTCCCCCTCCCTGACCCCCGACCCCAGGTGCTCGGTGATGCCTGCTGACTCACCTTGGTGATTCTGGGACTTCGTACAAGCCCCAGCAGCGGAGGCGGTGCCCTGTAGCCTTTGGTTGGATAGAGCAAGTGTGGATAACCTTGCTCAGAGTATGTCCCCTGACTCCCATGCCCACGTCTGACCCGCCACCACTGGTGAGTCATGCTTCTGGCTTCAGGACTGCCGGCTGCAGCTGTTCTTAACATGGAAATGCTCCCGCAGTCCTATCAGTCATCCGACACCTCAGTGTGAACTGGCTGCTATCCCTGAGCAGGCTGGCAGGGACGGTGGTGTGGGTGGCAGGGCTGGGCACCTCATCCATCTCTTGCACAGCGTGAAGATGCCCAGCTGGGAGGCTGGGTGTGAGTCTGGCACATGGAGGCCCTCCGTAAATATTTTGCTGAATGTTGAATCATGCCAGGGGCTCCATCTCTGTTCTTCAGGGACTGGCTCTTCACATCCCAGGAATTGGGGAGCTGACCCCTGGGCGGGAAGAGGGGGTGTGTCTCCCAGAGCATGTACCAGGAAATCTCCATCTAGCTTCTTGAACTTCCTCTGACTCCCACAGAGCCCTTGTGCTCGGGGCTTCTTCCTGGCCACCCATCTCAAAGAAGGCAACATACTGGGGACATGCCTCTTAGGTCCCCAGGGCAATGACTCCAGAGGAAACACAGAGGCAGGAGGCTGCAGCTATTGGTCTCCAGCTCTTATCTTCTACAACCACTTATTCATTCAACAAACATCTACTGATCCCCCGTGTGCAGTGGGCAACGGCGGGGGGAGACACCCTCCCCTCAAGGAGTCACAGCACAATTCAAGGTCCATGCTACTGCCCATTCACTGTTATTGCTCATCTGCCCCCCACCCCAGGAGATGTGAGTTTCCTGGGTGAAGGACCCAAGCCCCATTCCTCACTGGATGTCCCAGTGACCTACCACAGGGCCTGCCAAACAACAGGGACCCGAGAAATGTCTGTGGGATGAACTGGGGTGGCCAAGGCCCTCCGTGTCACAAGGGGGTGAGTTAGAGAAGTGTGGGAGCAGCTGAGGGCGCAGAAGCAGCCCTGAGAGGGATACATGATGAGGCAAGTGTCCCTACATTTTTGTTCTGTAGCCTTGGGGGGGGGGGTCTAGAGAAGCCGGCCTCTTCTTGGCTGCTCCTGCAGTGACACCCACAATCATAGGAGGGAGAAGAATGCACCCCTGGGCTTCCTGAGGTATGGGGTGGGGCAGGGGCTCTCCACCTCATCTTGCCTGAAGGTTAACCCTAACCTGCCCTGCGCCTCCTTCACCACACAATGGCCCACAGCACACACCCCAGTCTCTTTGCAGCCCACGGTGCCCAGGTAAGGTGATGCAGGGCATCACCTTGCCAGAGAGGGGGCATCCATGTGCTAACCAGGCCTGCTGCCACCTTAGTTCCAAACAACTGAGGTGGGCAGCACATGGTCCCGCAGGGCCAGCCAGCTCCGGGCAGCTTGGAGACACACGACAGGGAACTTCCAAGAGAGCTGTGGCTGGCCCACGGGTAGAAAAGGATCAACTTCTCTTTCTTTCCCTGGGAGCAGCAGTACTGTCGCTGTTCCCACACTTGATCTCAGGCAGCTAATTCAGGGTCTTTTCTTCAGAGCATGTGACCTGCACCCAGGAGGGTCAGGCACCTCTGATCCTGTGGGGGACCCTGAGCTCCCAAGTTGACCAAGAGGCCAGTCTACTGACTTCCCTGAGCCAGCTCAATTTTTTTTTTAAATCTTGGGGGGAGGGGAACTTGGGGACAGCACAAAGAGAGGTACAGACCCTCAGACTTCAGTATTGTTTCCATTCAGCCTTATTTCCTCTCACAGCCAGGTCTGGTCCCAGAAACTCACACTGGGCAGAGGGACCTGTTTGTCTGAGAGGATGCTGCGGGTTCCGGCTTGAGGTGAGGGTGGTACTAATGCAGGACACTGAGTCAAGAACAATCCACATCAGCCCACAGAAACCCAGCTTCCCAAACTCAGCTCCACGGCCCTTTGTGGGGGTCCCAGGATGTGAGTTCTCCCCAAGTGTGTGTGTGTGTGGGGGTGGGGCATAGGCCATGGATCCTGCTCTAGGGTTGGTCTGCTCCCTGGAGTTCAGGTAAGAAATGAGTCACCTGAGGTTCACCTGCAGTGACAACTGGGAGGAAGCACCAGGGACAGCTTGGCCAAATGGCCAAGAGGCCATCATGCCCTCCCCCTTGGGGTCTGAGTCACAGCTTTCAGGGAAGTGGGCTAACGGGATTCCAGGGCTCCAAGTGTTTGGACTGAGTCATGGAAGCAGCCAGGGTGCTGGACATGGGCCGTTAAGGAGCAAGGTCCCCCTGGCAACCCCCAGCCAAAGGCCTCAGGGGCTCCCAACACTCTCTACCCCAGCTGTGGCCACTCCAGGTTGAGACACCCCAAACGCTCTGCAAGCTACAGGGATCTCTGTTTACCTGGATGGTCAATGATAAAGCCATGCCCTAGACAGTCAACAAGTCTCTACTGCCCCACTACAGGGTGCATCCTGGGCACACATCTGGAGCCTGAGCCTGAGTCCCCCATCCAGTTACTGCCCCTAGCCCCAGTAACCGGTCGCTTCCTCCTGGCAGCCCCACCTCCTCCCTGATCCACAGTCTGGGTGGCCCAGTCACCAGCTGGGGGACTGGTCCGACAGCATTCCTCCTCACAGGATAAAACCTGGGGCGACCTGTAGGGAACCCTACACACTGCTGCCACCTGTCCTGCCAGCCCCAACCCGCACAGCCCTTAGGTCCTCTGAGATGGCCAGCAGCCTTGCCACGGCTCCACCCCTACCAGCTGTGGTGATCTCCAGGCCTCCCCCAGCACTGGGTGGGGACCAGCTCAGGATCTTAACCCTTCTGGTGCTGCTGACTTCCACAGGTGAGCCCCAAGGACCTGCTGCTCCTCCTCGCCTCTTCTCTTCCCGCCTCCTCCCTGCCCACAGTCCCTCCTCCTTGCTTGCCTCTTGGCTTAGCATCTTCCTTTGAATCTGCTCTCTCCTCTGTCCATTATCTCCTTTCAGCTCCCTGTGCCTCCGTCTCCGTCCCCTTCCTCTGGCATGTTGTTTACCTCCATGCTCTGTGCCTCAGTTTCCCTAGCAGCTATGAGGGTTGAATGTGGGTGAGTGCTCTGGTCGCAGAGATCAGGAAATCCTCTCTCGTCCTTGTGGGTCTTTACCTGTCTGTGTGCCTTCCTTGTGTCCTCCATCTTCTGTCTCCCCCTCCATGGTTTCCATCTTGGGTCTACTCCTTCTGTTTTGGAATAGAAAAACTGCCCAGGCTTTCATGGGGGCTGGGGAGGAAACCTGGATGCTGGGTGTGTGTGTCCTAAGCTCTCTTCCCATTCTCGGGAAGGTGGAAAAAATACTGCTGGGCTGGGAGGCAGGGGTCTGGGGATGTTTGGCCCACGCAGGGCTTCAGGAGGTACCTGTGGTGTGTGTGTGTGTGTGTGTGTGTGTGTGTGTGTGTGTGTGTGTGTGTGTGTGTGAAGGTACTGAGGACCCTGGATGAGTCTGAGAGGACGGGGGTGGGGGGTGGGGGGGTGTCCCCTAGGCATGGGGCACAGGGCTCCTCACCACTGGGCCTGACTCTCTTTATTCTCTCTGCCCTCAGCTACCCTCAGTGCTGCCCACATCCCTGGTGAGTGTGAGCAGGCTGGGTGGGGGTGGCATGGGCAGTCTCTGTACGTCACTCTACGGGGTAGGTCAGACGTGGGGACTGCAGTCAGAGGGGAGCACAAAGGTGAAGAGGAAGGAACACAAGGATGAAGAGCATGGGGCGGGGCATAGAAAAGATGATGGATCTAGAGGAGAAAAGGCTGGAAGAGCAGAAGGGTAAGAGCCAAGAGAACCAAATAGATCTTTAAGGGAAGTGGGAGGGAAGGCCAGCTGCAGGGCTGGAGAAGGGGAGGAAAGGGCCATTCCCACCCCCCTCCGGTAACTAAAGGGGACAGGGACAGGGCAGGGACTCACCCAGCAGTAGACACTGTGCTGGACACACGCTGGGCTGGGACACAGGCTTGAGATCTTGGAGGGCTTGGAGGTGGGTTGGCAAGTCAGAAGACAACTGTGTCTGCCGAGATGACGGGAAACTCCGTCCCTTCTGCCAGTGCCCCCAGACTGCGGGAAGCCTCAGCAGCTGAACCGGGTCGTGGGTGGTGAGGACAGCATGGATGCCCAGTGGCCCTGGATTGTTAGCATCCTCAAGAATGGTTCCCACCACTGTGCAGGCTCCTTGCTCACCAACCGCTGGGTGGTCACGGCTGCCCACTGCTTCAAGAGGTATGTGAAAACCAGCCTGCTCTTGACTCTCCAGGACCCATTCTTGTTTCCTGCCCCAGGCTCGGGGCTGTCCAGGCTGTTCGGGGGTCATGATCGCCATCCTACCAGGCATGGTCTCTCTGACATTTCCCCCTTTCCTTTTCTTGCAGCAGCGTGGACAAGCCGTCTCTGTTCTCAGTATTGTTGGGGGCCTGGCAGTTGGGAAACCCAGGCCCAAGGTCCCAGCAAGTGGGGATTGCTTGGGTGCTGCCCCACCCCAGGTATTCTTGGAAGGAGGGAACCCGTGCAGACATTGCCCTCGTGCGTCTGGAACACTCCATCCAGTTCTCTGAGCGGATCCTGCCCATCTGCCTGCCTGACTCCTCTGTCCGGCTCCCTCCCAACACTGACTGCTGGATTGCAGGCTGGGGAAGCATCCGTGACGGAGGTGCGTGTGGTTCCCTCTAACTCAGAGTCAGAGATAGTTGGGGACAGAAGGTGGGTGCCACCCAGATACAGATACCAGGAGCAGGAGAGGGTGGAGGCCGCATGTACACTACAGAGACATGAAAAGATGCGTTGGGGGAAGGGAAGTCACAAGAACTCAACCGCCAATTGTAGGCCATCTCTAGTTGAAAGGAATCTTTGGTTATCTTTTAAAGCAACAATAGAGATCTGCAACACCAACAACAACAACAAAGGAAAGAACAAAGAAAAACCTGTGCACGGTAGCCCAGGCCTTAATGCCAGAACTCGGGAGGCAGAGGCAGGAGGAACTCTGTGAGTTCAAGGCTGGCCTGGTCTACAGAGTGAGTTCCAGGACAGCCCGGGATACATAGAAAGACCCTATCGAGAGAGAAGAGGGGGGGGATTTGCAAAGTCATTGACACAAGAATGGGTAGAAATGGAGGGAGGGAAGATGGAAATGTAATCAGCACTGTTTTCCAAGTGGGACAAGTCACCCTCTGGTGGCAGCATCTCTTGCAAGCAAAATTCCCAGGAGAAAATGTAGTCTTCATCACCATAAAACACAATTTTTAAACCAGTCTGGAGGTTTGGAAAATACCATCTAGAATCACAAACCAGATGAAATATAGAGGTAGAGAGAAGCAAGAGAAAGCAGATGGTAGCTAGATAGACAGAGCCTGGGGGAAGCCCAAACAAACAGAAATGATCTATGAAAGACAACATAGCAGAGACCAGGAAGGGGAAACTGCGTATAGACGACAGCGAAGAAAGACAGAGCCTTAGCCTGAGTCCAGAGAATTGCTCAGGCCTGGGCAGATGCTTGGACCCCGCCTGCAGTTGCAGCCTTTCCTTGGGGTCTGCACCTTAATTCCAAGAGGCTGTGGGGCTGATGGAATTCGGAACCCAGGGGATACTGAGCACACTGCCTTTGCAGGAAAAACAAGAGTCCTAGAAACACCATTCTGTTGTGTAGCCCTCTGTGGGTACCAGGGAGCTTATTGAAGACACAGAATCTAGGGCTACACATCCATGTTTGAATTCCCTGGGTCAAGAGGTGGAGAGCCTGGGATTAGGATTTCCTGAAAATACCTTGGGAAAGCTCAGTAGAGCGGATCTGTTTACCTTTGAGAAACACTGCTGGGTGAGTAGAGGGGACTGGATGCACACTCCGGGCCGACTCTCTCCTTCTGTTCCCAGTGCCCCTGCCCGAACCTCAGACCCTTCAGAAGCTGAAGGTGCCCATCATCGACTCAGAAATCTGCAAACGCTTATACTGGCGGGGTGCCGGGCAGGAAGCCATCACTGAGGACATGCTGTGTGCTGGTTACCTGGAAGGGGAGCGGGATGCTTGTCTGGTGAGCACCTACCCTTTGTCCACCCCAACTGGGAGGCCCAAAAGCTCCATCACTTCTACGCCTCCTCCCTCAGTCTCCTGAGGGACATTCTCTCCCACCTCTGCCTGGGCCCCCTTTAGTCTGGTTGGGCCGTTCATTTTCTTGTTTACACGTGGATTGTGTACAATCCTCAGAGCACCTCAGCTGTAACACCTCAGCTTGGCTGCTGGTATTCTGAGGAGGGCCCTGTGGTTCAGAACCCTTGTCCTCTAGGGCCAGTCCCGTGACTGAATGAGAACGGTAGTATGGTGGAGCAGTTACCTCCAGGTAGCCAGCCTACAGCCCGGCTGCAGTGTCCACATTGCCAATTAGTGTAAGGACTTTCTAAACCTGTAAAACGGAAGTGGCCTCATGTCCTCCTTCTCGTCGTGGTGGGGAGGACATGCCACCAGAAGCGGTTCTGTTCGGAAGGTCTATTCTTCCAGGGCCTCCACAGACTCAGTACTGCAGCCTCCAAGGACACCCGGGCTCTGCACACGGCCTGCCGGTGTGGGTGCCTGATTTCTCTTCTTTTCTTCAGGGCGATTCTGGGGGTCCTCTGATGTGCCAGGTGGATGGCTCCTGGCTACTAACTGGCATCATCAGCTGGGGAGAGGGCTGTGCGGAGCGCAACCGGCCCGGCGTCTACACCAGCCTGCTGGCTCACCGCTTCTGGGTGCAGAGGATTGTGCAAGGAGTGCAGCTGCGCGGGCGCTTGGCGAGCAAAGGGGACCCCGGGAGCGCCTAAGCTGGGATCTGGAGATGAACAGCCTCTAGGCGGTCTCTGCTGTAAATATGTTTTCTACCTCCGAAGTCTCGGTCCCGCCCACGGCGAGGCCCCGCCCCTCAATCGAGGACTCGTGTGTGTGTGTGTGTGTGTGTGTGTGTGTGTGTGTGTGTGTGTGTGTGTGTGTGTGTGTGTGTGTGCGTTAATGACAATTTTTTACAGTTATTTGTAACCATGCCCACATATTTATTTCAGTTTCAATAAATTATTTATTCTCAGTTCTTGTGTGTTTTTTTTTTCTCTTCCCATGTATGGGGACGCTGACACAAGAATACACTTGGAACAAAAATGTCCGCAGTTGTATCTGGGCCTGGCCACAGCTCCAGCTCTTGTTCGCCTTTTCTCTGAGGCAGCAGGTGGGAAGGAGGTGGGAGACTGTGGCCGGAGGACTTGCCTGTGCTCTACTGAGGAGTGCCGGATGAAGCAGAAGCTTATCTCTGTGAGAATGGGGATTGGCTCCTCTCGAGGCCAGATCTGGGCCCCTCCCCACTTGAAGCAATTGTCCCCGCCAGCCTCCGTCAGCCCTTGTCTCCCTGACCTGGGTGAGCAGCTCCACCTGTCCATCGCTGACTCAGAATGACTCTCCACTGAGGCTGTAAATTCCTCTCCACCAAGGAGGTGAAAAACAGTGAGGCAACAGGCTTGAGTCTCCTCACCTGTCTTCCTGGAGGATGGAGCAGATGACAGAATGATCCAGGCTGTGAGAGGCTGTGTGGCTTCCAAAACGTCCTGGACTAAAGTCTGTGGTCCCTCAGCCCTGCAGCCCGGGCCCTGAGTCCCTCCCCCCGCCTGGGCTTTGGATTTCTCACAGCTGCTCTGTGAGGTGGCTGGGTCACAGGCTGGATGAGTGTGCACTTGATAGTGGTCGGTACCTGGAGAGCCACCCAAAACAAGGGCCCGAAAACAACCAGCTCCAACAGGTGACAGAGACAACTTTGCTAAACAATGTCTCCCACCAGGAATGGCAGAGGTGACATGTCCAGGAGAACAACGCTGTCCAGGTCTGTGGGTGCTGTGTGCTTTGTAGAGTCCAATTCGGAAACACTTGCTCCCAATGCTCCATCCACACACGTCAGAGGTGGCACCAGGGCCTCTTCAGCTGAGGCCAGTGTCGTTGTCGTCCCCCCCCCCCCACAGCCACACCCTCCTGGTGTTGTTTTGACTTCTGCTCTTCCATTGTTAGAAAGTAATAAATGTTGTTTAAAAACAAACAGCCCAAACCTGCCACCTGGCCACCTGCTTATCAGGGCCACCTGCTTGTCAGGGCCACCTGCTTGTCAGGGACGCAGCTGGGAGCACTCCGTGCTTCAGGTGCCCCAGGTGCCAGCACATGCCCGGCTGAGGGACCGATCTGCACTGTCCCCTTACCCCCGGCCCCCACCCCGTTATCTCCCAGCCCTCCCTTGCTGGCTGCTCTCCCTCCCTCAGTCGCTCTCCCCTGCTGCTAACTCCTGCTCCTGTCCCCAAGCTCTTAGCCCTCTACTCTGCCCTCCTCCATCTGCAGACCTGGGGTGGTCTTCCTGCCGGAGCCCTCAGCCCCTCCCCGCTGACTTGCTTCTTGCCCACTCTTTTATTCTTCTCTTTCTCTAGTTTTCCCCTTCTGTCTGTTTCTGCCCTTCACACCTTTACTCTGACCCTGTTTTCCCCAGGCCTGTGTGTCCATCCCTCACGTCTGTCCGTCTGTCCGTCCGTCCTCCCTCCAATATCGCCCTTGCTGAAGCCCCCTCAACAGCTACCCGAGGCCCCCAGTCAATGGCTGTTCAGGTAGGGTGGGAAGTCAGTCTTCAGCTGTTCCCAAAGCATAGTACAGAGTCGCCAGTGACTCCAGCAGGCTAAGCTTGTCTTCAATAGGTCAAGTAAACAAACAAGAGAGTGGAGATCTCTTTCAATGTGGCCTCACTGAGAATAACAAAAAATAAGGAGAGCTGGTGCCCCCCTAAGGTTATCTTTGGGGTACTGACGTGAAGTTTAGGTTTAGATAGAGGGAAAGAGATATGCTATCCTGGTCCAAATGTGGTGCTGGCAGTGGTGAGGGACATAGACACAACTCCATATTGTCCTCTTCAGCAGCCTGAGGAATTCCCCTAATCTTTCTCAAATTAAATAACTAGCTAATTAATTAATTGTGTACGTATATGTATGTAGGCGCATGAAGGTCAAAGGGCAATTTTCTATCCACTGATTCGTCTCACTGGCCTGAGTTCCCCTCATCTTTTAGGGACCTTGATGCCAAACCAGGATTCATGGTTTCAATGCTGAAAATAATTTTAGGACCAGATGGTATTAATGAAACAGAGTTGGAGATTTCAAAAAAGATTTATTTATGTTTATTTTACATGTATGTTTGTTTGCATATATGTATACCACATACATGCAGTGCCCATGGAGGCCAGAAGAGGACACCAAATCCTCTGGAACTGGAGTTGCAGATGATTGTGAACCACCATGAGGATGCTGGGAAACAAGAGCTCTTAACCAGTGAGCCATCTCTCTAGCCCCAGGGACTTTATTAAAGATATTTTAATATAGACTTTAAATGTGTGTTAAGAGAATTCCTCAGAAGAAAGTAAGAATGTAGGCCTCTAGAGAAGAGTCACAGGAAAGTAGCATGCTCATGAGTGTCCAGCTTTCTTCCCTAGGGACAGTTGCAACTGGCTGTCTTAGTGTTGGCCACATGTTCAATTTTGGCCATTTTCAACTTAAATCAAAAGATTGCTAAGACCCCCCTCCCCCCAGGCCCCTGTATGCACTTTTAATCTCTCTCTCTCTTTTTAAAATTTTCTTTTTTAAAAGATTTATTTATTTATTATGTGTACGGTGTTCTGCCTGCATGTGTCCTTGCAGGCCAGAAGAGGGCGCCAGATCTCATTACAGATGGTTGTGAGCCACCATGTGGTTGCTGGGAATTGAACTCAGGACCTTGGAAAGAATAGCCAGTGCTCTTAACTGCTGAGCCATCTCTCCAGCCCTTAATCTCTTTTGATAACTGAAATTATAGATGCCTCAGATGGAATTGTAATAATAAGCCCTAGAGGTTTAGGACATGGCCTTCACTGAATGGGGTTTCTGGAGAAATTCCCAGAGAACTGTGGGTTTACAGCTGGGAAGGGGAGAGGATTCAAGCAGTTGGTTCTTAATTGTGCTGGTTTCTTGTGTTCCACCTGGCAAGAGACTTCATCTAGCTTCCAGGAACAGGGGCTCCTCTCTCTCCTCATGAACCCCAGAATCTCTGTGCTTTCAGTCCTGCCCATCACCAGCTCAGCTCCAGTCTCTCCATCAAGATGGCCTGACCAACTGGAAAAGCTGTGTGGACGAATTCTCTTTTCCAGAGACATGCCTGGCTGGCACAGGGCTTTTGCCTTTTGCCTGTGCCAGAGTGAGATTCCTGGCAAAAGCCCCATTTCTGAAGTCCATTGTCTCAGTGGTCTGACTGTCAGAGGGAAGGGTGCAAGTTTCTTTAGAGTTTCTTCATTTCTGCCAAGACAGCGACAGCAGGAGGGTCTTGGGGGTCCAGGGCTCCAGGGAAGGCCAGCATGGGAAGGGGGAGTTGAGTGCACCGGGATTTTCTAGACTCCTCTCCACATGGGGGGCTCTCTAGCACGTGTCCCATGTCCTACACAGTCCGACAGTTCCATGGCTCTTACTCCTGGGTGCATGCCCAGCTCAGGGTGCGAGGCCATATCTCCAGGCCTCCCTGTACACATGGGACTCTGGCCCAAGAAGAACTTGCCTTGATCATGTCCTGCTCTGGATAAAGGGCCATAAAACTCGCTGGGGGCTGCAGATGGAGACCTTGGACTACTGGGCAGTCTTGGAGGATTGACCCCCCTGACTAGCAAATGTGCCTTTCCTTCAGCCTTCACCCCACTTGCAGAGCTCTGACATCCTCTCTGGTGTTGGGTGGGGACCTTCTGGCCTGTGACAGAAGTTGACACAGTAAGAACGCTGCCTGCTGTGGCCCTGAGGTCTAGGTGCCCCCGCTACCCACTTCTCTCTTGGTTCTTTCCTTGAATTATGAACTCTTGAGGGGACCTTCCCTCCAACCCAGTGCAAAGTTTTGGTTGCAAGGTTTAAAGGGGACACATTCTGGATGAGTTCCCCACAGTTTATCATGGTATCTTGCATCCAATGTGGGAAATGTTAGTCTAGGTAGGGGTCATGATTGGGTTCATTTTCCCAGTTAAAGGATGAAAAGGCAGGAAAACTCTGGAACACAATAGTCGGCAGCAAGGTGTTGTGGGATATTTGTGCACTGTGTGAAGATGTATTGCTGTGATTGGCTTAATAAAGAGCTGCATGGCCAATAGCTGGGCAGGAAGAGGTTAGGCAGGATTTCTGGGGACAGAGAGGACTCTGGGAAGAAGAGAGGCAGAGAGATGCCAGTGAGACTCTAAAGAAGTCAGACACAGGGTACAGATCAGCGATAACCCGAGCCACGAGGCAAACCATTGATATAGGTTAACACAAAGATGCAACAAAGAAAGAGAATTACAGACCAATCTCCCTCATGAACATTGATACAAAAATACTCAACAAAATGTTGGCAAACCGAATCCAAGAACACATCAAAAAAAATTACCCACCATGACCAAGTAGGTTTCATCCCAGGGATGCAAGGATGGTTCAACATAACAAAATCTGTCAATGTAATCCACCATATAAACAAACTGAAAGAAAAAAACCACATGATCATCTCATTAGATGCTAAAAAAGCCTTTGACAAAATCCAACACCCCTTCATGACAAAGGTCTTAGAGAGATCAGGAATACAAAGAACATTCCTAAACGTAATAAAGGCAATTTACAGAAAGCCAACAGCCACCATCAAATTAAATGGAGAGAAACTCAAAGCGATTCTACTAAAATCAGGAACAAAACAAGGCTGTCCACTCTCTCCACATTTATTCAAAAAATATAGGTTAGTTAAATTATAAGAGCTAGTTGGGGAAAACCCAACTAAGGCCAAGCTTTCGTAATTAATGTCTCTGTGTCATTATTTGTGAGCTGGTGGCCCAAAGAAAAAT